CACGATACGCTCATGGGAGTGATTCGCACATGCTGTGCAAGCGGATGTAAGGATGTCACAAGAGTGGCTTTTTGGTTTCTTTTCTTGGCATCCCAGACACTAGCACCTCATCTGAACAATTTGTTTTAGCATAAGGGGTAATATAGTCATTCAACTTTACAATTTAAACGTTACAATATGTATTTAAATAATGATGGTTGATTCCTTTACTTGAAAGCTCAGATTTGATTATCATAATTTGGGTTGTTGATTGAGTTTGAGGTTTACTGTACCATTATTATTCACTCCTTAAAGTTTGCTTTGATTGTTCAGTATTTAAGCTTTAACATTGGAGACACTTTGTAACATTTTATTCATCAAGTTATAAGAGTCTCTTTATCAATTATGTTTACTTTATTATGAAGAGATCAGATATTTTGTTTACATATTTTTTATTTTTGACTATTAAAACTATTTGCCCAAGTACTGTTGGTAAAGTAAAATAGTGGTTAAATAACAAAATAAAATCCTAATATTCCTAAATGTATTGTTAAAAAATATTCAATAATTATCGATATCGAATGATTTGAAACATGATATGCTTATAAATTTTTTGCAATATCGCCCAATCCTAACCTTATTTAATGTTTAAAGTGTGCTATGAGTTCAAACTTAAAACTGTAACATTAAGTCTGTGAACAAACAAAAGTATTACAAGACAAAGATCACATTAGTTACACATTATGTACTTTTTTGATGGTAAACTTATTCCCAATTTATTAAATTTAATCACGTCATATGAAAAAAATGTTGCCGATTCACATTTAGTGTGGACAATTACTTTCCGCTGGAATCTAATTGAATGTCATGTAGTTAGGATATTGTGTCAAGAGCTAAACACAAAAGTTTTACTCACAGTGGGGGGGTATGGTGGGCTGTATTCCCTGTACTTCCTCTTTTCAGATGGACTGTAATCTGATTCGTCACTGTAGTCCGAGTACTCATCACTGGATGACTGGTGACGCTGTATCATGCAGAAAAACATTGAAAACAAATAAATACACTACCATTTAAATACTTTTTATGGATTTTTTTTCACATTTGCATCACATTTTACAGAAAACTATTAATCTGTAGATTACTGTTATAAATTATAAATAAATGTAGACAGGGTGATCATAAAAAACTAAATAAAAACATATTAATATAAGCACTTACCTTGTGCTTTGATTTACGCTTTTTCTTGGCCCTCCTTTTTTCTTTTTCACGCTCTCGCTCCCTCTTTCTCTTTCTCCTGCGCCGATGTGACTTTTCCTCATCATTTGATTCACTGGCATGGCGCTCCTTGCTGTGGCGAGGTTTATCCTGGGGATCAGCCACCTCTCCACTGGGCACCTCTGCCTCTCCACCATCATCCTCCAACTCACCTTCTTCCAATTCCCCATCTTCCTGCCTGTTTAACATGGAAAACAAATGATGAAAGTCAGAACTCAAAACAAAAAATGACAGACCTTTTTTTTTTTTGACTCAAGAACCCTTATTTGTTCTTCATCTATAACTGACAGCTGCACAATGGTTACGGTTTTCAAAATTATGGGAGTGCATTATCATGGTCCACTATATTGATTAGCTATTAAATGGGCCTTCATTCTTAATTCTGGCATGTCTATTTCTGCTGGTCTGACTATTAAACACTACAAGTGAAGAGAGTAAGAGAGATGTCTTTATGAACACTGCTGCCAATCTACAGATGCAACATTGTAATTTAGTTGTGTTGAGAATCACACTAGGGGTGTCAAATGTTCAGTGCTCATTTGTGCATTGCTCAAAGCAACTCTGAGTCACTACAGAGCCACCCTGTTTATAGAAGATCTAACATATAGGTTGTATAGTAAGCAATTATAAGGTTTAGACAGGACTACACTTCAAAACAAAGATAAGGAGCAGTCACATAAGACAGAGAAACATTGCTGCACTTTACAGTGCGCATTGACAAAACATTATCAATTAACCCCTAAACTTTACTCCTGAAAAAGGAAACTTCAGGAAAAGGATTTGCTAAAACATGAACCTAAATGCAAAGCCATGGATGAGATATGATTCAAGATACACAAGTTTCCACAAGTATCAACCAACTGACACATTTACATATTTATATTGTAGTATATTTTAAGTAACTTTAGCTAGTTTAAAAAAAGCTTTATGCTATTAGTAATAACAATAAAAAATTAGTCAATTTGCCAAACTTTAAAGACAAAACTTTTACATTTAACTAATAATATAAAAAACTCAAAATCATTATAAAAATACAAACTTCCTCATCAGTGGACTGTAAGAACCATATCTTCCATGGCTAAACTCAAGTTATCTGTTCTTCTGAACAGGTAATGTTTTTAAAACAGTACAGAAAGAATCAATTGGTAAATGGTCACTAATGATTAACTACAAATCCATTCATCTCTATGTCAACAAAAATATTTCATGGGTATTATTAGCATGTTGTGAAACAAAATATAGTTACATAACATAGTGGGCTCTCAGTAAATAAGGAGACCACCTTTTTTAAAAACCTCATTTGATTCTGTAATTTTTCATTCTAATGTTTTTGAATACAATGACAAAACAATAGGTTCAAACAAAATTATAAATGGGGCTCCCTCGCATTATTTACTTGTCAAACACACTTTGAAATAAATAACATCTGACAAAAGCAAAAAAAAAAAGTATGTATACAATGTAACAAAAATGGATCTAGCCATAAGGTGTTGCAAGAAATTCTTGGCAAATTTACAACTAACTTAAAAAATAATAATCATTCAAAGTATGTTCACTGTATGTATGCAAGTAATAAAAGACAATTGCATGCAAAGATATATAAAATAACTTGGCCTGTACATTTCTGGCAATACTTACTGTGAAATACTTATGTATGCATAAGGGAGGTGAAAGGTTGCAGTTTGGGCAAAATGGTTAACCACTTTTGTGTTCTGATAAGACCTTGAATGCTTCTGAGACATTGAACAGCACTGGACCATGAAGGGATGCATGTGTACATTAAGCTAACTAAATTACAATAAAAGAAGTGTATGAAAAACAGGGACACCTGTTGTGGCATATTTACTAGATTAATAACAATTTAACATTTATTTCTACTGTCAACAAATTAATTCATGTGGAGGACTAAAAGTAACGGCATTTAACCAAATTAAAGCCCATGAAGCTTAAATGTAAAGAAACCTAAAACATTTTTATAATCCGAATCAACAGGCATATGTCGTGCTACTAATAAGACATAAATATAAAATAAATATTTAAAATAAATAAAATCATATACTACATTAATTTTAATGTACCTGTATGTTTTAACAACTTATTTTAAAAAACAAAAGCGGATGAGTTATGATTACATAGCTCCTATTAACGTTAAAACACAAATGTAACGCTCAAGCAACCAAACCCTAAAGGAATAAAAATATTTAAGTTATTTTAGTGACGTCTCCAATAAATCTATGTGCGTAGCTCGTGACACTTAGCATAAGTGCTAAGCGCTAAAGGGAGACAAATTATCATCCCGAACTAAAATTTGCGTTATTACGTTAAGATAAACTAAATCGTATTGCATTCGATGACCAATTAAATAAGGAATAATTAATCAGACGCCAAGTTATAAACCGTGCTAATCCGTCGCTATTCATTAGCTTCCGTTAGCCGTGTTTTGTTGCTAAACTGTTGGCTAACTGTTAGCACTGCTAGCTTTAGCTCGGTCCAGGCCTCGCGATGGATAAACAAATTCCTTAATGCGTAAAAAGGGATCAGTTTTACCACATAACATACGGTTTGCGTTGTGGTAATAAGTCGGAGTTTAATTTTAGGTCTATAACAAAAAAAAATTAGCTTGTGATTTCTTTTGTCCATCTGTTCTTTATCTGTGATGAAAACACTGTTACAGGATCAATGTTTTGACGTAGGGGTGGCCCCATGGTCTTCGATCACTAAAAAAACATTAGAAAGTGACTGAAAATGTCAATTTGATCATATTCTGAATGTTTTCCTGATTCGCTTGTGACCTTCCAGATTGCGCTGTGTAACGTTTCAAGATGGCGTTTCGTTACCTCTGTACGTTTCCCAGAAAAGGCGACTTTAATCCCTTTGAAAGAAAAAAAGCAAATGCCCGTGCTTTTTGTTTTTGGAAAAAAGCAAAGGACAAATCAATAGTTGGATAGAAATATGATGATATTACTCGACCTTTCGTCAGTGAGAAGGCTGTTGTGTTCGTGGTTGGCTGTTGGGGAGTTTGGATGGACAGTCATGCTTTCCACAGCCATTTCCTCTAACGTACTACATTCAGTGCAAAAAATCAACTGTCTTATGCGTTACTTGACTTTGATCTACTTGTTGATTGGCATTAGGAAGAGATTCAGTTCATTGTAGTCAATTCCCCCCTAACAGTTTAAAAGAGAAACAGGTTGAAAACGTTCCTGAGGTTCTCCGTCCTACAGTTGCGATGTGAAATGAAACTCATTCTCTTAAAATGGCGACGCTTCTTCTCCGAAGAGAATGGGCGGACTTACGTGACGTCGACTGTCACGGAAATGACCGATCGGGTCATGAAAAAAAAACACTTTTTTTTTTACTCTAAGGGTAATGTAATAGTTAAAATAGTATATATTAACTGTAATCATGCACATAATATCTTAATATAAAACGTTATTTTTATCAGTATTTATTATTATTATCATCATCATTATTATTATCATTATTCATTGTATTATTACTGTTTTATCAAAAAAGGGGCCTTGCAGTTAAAATATATCAACATTGCATTATCTTTGGTATCATATGTTTCAATACCTATTCTGGACCTATATATATATATATATATATATATATATATATATATATATAATTGAATATAATAACTCTAAAGTATCAGTTTTATACAACTCAACTTTTTATTTGATTCTATTTTGCAAGCACAGATCTAGAAAACAATCATTTAATGCTATTAATAGTGATCTACACTCCAATAAATATAATTCTGTCACGTTTATGTTTGCTTAAAACCATTATTATTGTAAATTATACTATTACATTTTGTTTGAAATTAAAATCTTATTTTGCCAGTGATGGGTTGCAGCTGGAAGGTCATCCGCTGCGTAAAATATATGCTGGATAAGTTGGCGGTTCATTCTGCTGTGGCGACCCCAGATTAATAAAGGGACTAAGCTAAAAAGAAAATGAATGAATGAAAATCTTATAATGATTGTCAAATGATTTGTCAAATCCTTTGAGAATATTTTTAAAAATAAAGAAGACTCTATATTATTTATACTCTTTATTATTTAATGTCTCTTAAAATAAAAAGTACTAATTTTCTTTTTTCCATTTCTTTGCAAGTAGACTATTATAAAATAGTAAAATGCACCATTTTCACTCATATCTGGACAGAAATTTTAAGTTAAATTAACACCATGAACGGACCTTTGCTCATAAAATTATGCATTATTAAAAATTAAATTCATCATATGTACATGACATATTTTGGTGACACATTTAACGCTCGCTAGATGTATAAAGGATCCCTGATAAATGTCCATTGTCGAGCTCTGATTCTGGCACACATCTCCTGCGTCATCATTGCGCGCCTTTACGAGTTTCACTAAGCGGCACTTTTGTCCCATTGAATGGGCAATAGAAAAAATAGAGCGTAGAATAGTCCAACTAACCCGTAGTTAATTGATTACAGCTTATCATCAGAAATACAAATATTCCGAGATGATCGATACCATCGAAAAAGAAGACACTATTATTAGTGAGGAGGAAGCTGCACAATATGATCGCCAGATTCGCCTGTGGGGTCTCGATGCTCAAAAGAGGTTCGTGGATAAAGGTTTCGAGCAAAAAAACAAAACTTAATCATATTTTATGGATCTTGTTTTTAGATGATTGTTTGTGTGTGCAAAAAACATAAATTATAAGTTGGGTTAAATGTAATTAATTATTGTGATTAATCCATCTTTCACAGTCGTCTGAAATACAATGCGTGAAAACAATGTTCGTAACTTACTGGTTGTATATTGCCAACATAATAATGAATTAATGTTATGTACGTGTTTAGTACTTGTCAAATGTTTTAAATCTTCATTATTTTAAATGTTATATAATAGTCTCTCATGCTCACAACATGCGCATAAAGGTGAACACATATTGTATTACACGATGTAAAAATAAGTTTTCTAGTATCTAATATGTTATGTGAATTTCTGAAATAAATGCACAAACATTACACATTTGAATGCTCTTAGGTCACAGTCTCTACAAAGTGGCACTAAGTAACTGTTCATACAGTTATACATAATATACAGTTGATTTCTAAAGCATAGTGTGACACCTTAGACTGCAATTTAATAATGATGGTCTTTTTTAACTTAATTTTTAGCACATAAATTCACTCATGGTGAGCAAGAGAGGCTTTATTAACAACATATAAATCACCATGTTTCCAAACATTTGACCAGTACAGTAATTAACAAACATAACTGCATTTTCAGACTGAGGGGATCACGAGTACTTCTTGTTGGTCTGCGAGGTCTTGGAGCAGAAGTAGCAAAGAATCTTATTTTGGCTGGAGTCAAAGGACTGACCCTCCTGGACCATGAGCAGGTATCAAATAAAGTGCTGTCTAGCATATTAGCATTGCACTCATCAGACATCTTTATTGAATGGAAAGGAGATACATCCATTCATTTTCTTTTTGGGTTAGTCCCTTTATTAATCTAGAGTCGCCACAGCGGATTGAACAGCCAACTTATCCAGCATATGTTTTACACAGCGGATGCCCTTCCAGCTGCAGCCCATTACTGGGAAACACCAACACTCATTCAGGCACATACACTACGGACAATTTCGCTTACCCAATTCCCCTGTAGCGCATGCTAAGTGCCAACTGACCCCCCGAGGCTCGAACCAGCAATCTTCTTGCTGTGAGGCGATCGTGCTACCCACTGCGCCACTTTGACGCCCTAAAAGAAATGCAATAAAATTGAATTATGAGCACATTAATAGAAATATAACTTGGCAAAAAAAATTCTTATGACTTCCATCGATCAGGTGACTGAAGAGTCCAGGCGCGCTCAGTTCTTGATTCCTGTGGATGCAGATGGTCAGAACCATGCTCAGGCCTCTCTGGAGAGAGCTCAGTTCCTCAACCCCATGGTGGAAGTAAAGGCAGACACTGAACCAGTGGAGAGCAAACCAGATGACTTTTTCTTTCAGTTTGATGCGGTGAGTTACAAAGCCAACATTATATTCCTGGAAACTGCATAATTTACATAAATAAAGCATACAAAAAGGCTTTTATATGTAATAATAATAGTAATAGACACTCTTTAAATAATAACCACAGAATAATAGTTTGCAAAGGCAGAGAGCTAATTCCATCCGGAAATGCTCTATTGCTTAAAAAGAGGCATTTCATATTTTACAACTATTTATAAGTGGTAAATGGCTGAAATTAATATCCAGTGGTAACTATTTTCAACTTTTTTTCCCCAAATATAGTCATTTTAAATTGAAAATGTGGTACTATTTACATAGTTCAGGTTATAAATCAATGAATGTGATGATACAAGGTTTAGATTTTTTGAAAGTATTAGGCGTAAAAAAAAAGAGTGTGTGTGAATAATTTAAAAAGTGATTAGCAAACAATTCAAAACAATCACAATAAATGCCTAAAGTTGATCAATACTATAATTTGTATCCATTTATTTTGTAATAATAAATTATAAACAATGCGCTACAGTAAATAAACTTCTTTAAATGTAATTATATTGTTTTTTTTTTTCGCTTTATATTGTTGTCTAAATGTATTATTAACTTAGTGAGTTATGTTTTGGTCTCACTGTCTGCTTGTTAAGTCGTGACGTATGGAGTACTGTTTCTGGGTCTAAGCCGCTTCTCATTTGAATCGAGCAAATATTTGTTCATGACCATTTTACATCACACATTAGAGTTGATTTTATATAAAATCATGATGTACACAATAGTCTCTGGGCTTGCTACATCACAGACACCAATATTATAACTATTTATAAAAATTTATCACTTTCTGGCCACCGGTTATTAGGCATGGATATTTATATTACTATCGTGATTTTTGAAAGTATTACATCGCTTTGTAAACGTTTATTATTTCCATTTGTTGAGCCTTCCCATACAGTTTGATAAAGCAGTTGGACCTGGAAGCAACTTTGCATGACCTCACACTTAACAAGGAGATGTTGATATTTTTTATTGAAATGTTTAAAAATAGACAAAGAGTTCAGATGCAAAAACCTCTAAGTGCCATCTGAAATTTTCTCCTAAAATTATAAATTTTTCTCAGGCTACTGTGTTTAAGTTGAGTAATTTCTCTTTTTTGTCAATATGTTATTTTTATTACCTTTATTGTTAAATTAGAGAACATAAATATAGGAGTCTTGGAAAAATGCCTAGTTTAAACGAAATTTCAGATTGCACTTAGAGATTATAGCATCTGAACTCTTCATATGAAAACATATATGAATCCCTGTAATAAAAGCACTTTCTCATACTTTTGACAATACAAGAGACGTTTTGTATTTTCAACATAGTCATACAAAAAGGAATACATTTTCCAATTAAAAAAAAAACATATTTGCAAAAGTTTAAATGATCACATTAATTTAAAGAAGAATTAAGCCTAGTATTTCCTTCACCCTGCTATACTTGTTTGAATACAAGTTTAGAATTAATGCTTGTTTATACAAATTGTTTGACCGAGTGTTGAAGGCATGGTTGTGAACTTGGTCTGATATTATTTATTGAGCTATTATTTAATGAATGTTGTAAGAAAAAAATGAAGATGATGTAGAAGATCTTAATGAAAATGTTTATACATCATAGTAGTCTCCAAATACACGGCAGTACCCTGTTTTTATCAAAGTCAAAATGAACCCTTAACTCTTAAACTCCAACCTTTTATACTGTTTTAGACTTGCCTTTAGGTGTTAATAAAGTTGCTCCTTGGCTGTTGATACAGCTGTTTTCTCTATCTCTACTGTATGTTAATGCCACTTTCACACCATTGATGAGATGATTCTCTGTGCCACATATCCATCCCCATTCTACAGTTGTTACCATTTGGTCAAGATGTAGTCACCTCAAACAATGCAGAGATAACAAATTATTGAGTTGTCTTCTCTATCATAATTCAGCCCTTTTGGGAAATGAGCATCAAACGCACTAATTAGAATTTAAGTTGGGTCGAGGCAGACTTAATTTCTTTTAATGTTCAAGAGAATTGTAATTAAAATATAGTAAAATCTTTATTTGCAAAACAGCATTTTTGTTCAGGACTTTCACAACACATATTAGAATAACCATAGAAATCTAACTGTGCTAAAAATCCCTTACAAAATGTAATTTTTCTATGGAAAGTGTCTGTTTGACTGGCTGTAATTTTAAGATGAAGCGTGAAATCTATCACAGTTGTGATAGAGATTCATCAACACATCAATGATTAATTAAGCATTAATATTTTAAATGAACCATCCTTTTGTTTGCGCCTTTCATGTCCACTAGATGTCTCAATACACAATTGAGCATTATCATTTATAACTTCTGTTTTTGCCTCTTTTTTTTTTTTTTTTTTTTACCCCTCAACCTCAGCATGAACCCATCTATGAACAATCCGCTTCAGATCTAGACTCAGACTTTTATCTACGGCTTAGTTTGGTCTTTTGCAAGCTCGTGCTCCTCTTTTTTTCAGGCATATAAGATATTCCAGGCCACATTTTCTTTCAATCAGGCCTGTTGTTGGCTGTGGAAGGTGCAGGCAGCATGCATAGCCTGTTCAAAGCACAGACAGGCGGTCTTTCATCTCGTCTATGTCTGGGCGCTGTCTGAACTTTCCCTCTGGGAGCGTTAGCAAGAGTTCATGAGGAGGAGGGAAGAGATGCTGGGACACCACATTATCTATTCTCTTTTATCTGATTCTCTCCATTTCTTGAAGTGCACAGGAAGTATTGTGTGTTTATGCGTTTGTCTTCTCTTGTGCATGTGTGGTGTCATTTGGAAGCAATTTTGTCAAAAACGATGCAAAATTATTCAAGAGGAAGCAAACAATAGACTGAATTAATTCATCGTCAAGATGATCTGTACATGTGTGAATGCATCGTTTGAGGGATGAAGAACAAATTCTATGCGGTACAGGGCATTGCTGTTGCTGGTGATGTGGAAACATTTTTTTTAAAGTAACCAATTTCTATTCAGAAAATAAGTTGTATGTATTGTTAATTATCGAAGGATCAGAATCACATATTTATAAATGACTATTAATCTATTTATACCTATTTTTAAATGAATTTCATTTATGTATTCAACTATTGAGATATATAAGTAAGTAATGTGTATTTATATAGCGCATTTATCGTGCATGTCCAATACACCCGAATCGCTTCACCATCCTTTGGGAGGGTCTCTCCACACCAACACCAGTGTGCAGCATCCACTTGGATGATGCGACAGCAACCACAGGACAACGGCGCCTGTGCGCACATTACACACAAGCTATAAGGGGAGGGGAGAGACAGTGATAGAGCCTATTCGGTGAATGGGGATGATTGGGAGGCCATGCTGGGTCAATGCAGATCGAGGAATTACACCCCATCTCTTTAAGAGAAGTGCCAGGGGATTTTTAAGGACCACAGAGGCTCAGGACCTCAGTTTAACATCTCATTTGAAAGACAAACTTCATATGTCAGAGAGAGCTGTTGTCTTGTGTGGTTGTGAAACAGCAGTGCCATTATTTCTGTTGCAAAAAGTCAATAACCACAGTACTAAAATATAACTTTAGACACAAACACTGATGTAGCGGTCAAAATGGAGTAAATCACCAACAGAAAATTCAAATGTTAAAAAGAATATTGAGACTTCAAAACGTTCAAATGAATATGGTTTTACTTTCGTTGTTGTGGCACTTGGTGATGACAAGTAACTATTAAAAATTAATTGAAAGGGATGGTGCTGCTTTAAATCAGTAATGTTATCTGGCTTTCTTGATAAACTGTTTTGTTAAATTTTGCCATCATTTACTCACAGTACACTTTCAACCCTTTGAGTTTAACGAAAGGGAAGATATTTTAAAGAAAGCTGAAAACCTGTACTCACTGATCTCCACTATAACTGTTTTTCCTAACTATGCATGTCAATCATTACAGGTTTTTAGCTTCCTTTAAAATATCTTAACCTTTACAAAGAAACCTGTATGAAAAGTAAATATTGAGTAAATTTTGGGAGAACTATACCTTTAATTAATCATTTGTTCAATAGATTTGCTAAAAATGCTGATTAATCCATTAATAAAACAAGTAAAGTCCTTCTTTTAAATAATTTAAATAATAAATAAATCTAATTAAATAAATGTTATTTAAAGAGACTGCAGCTAGTTGCTAGGTCCTCTATGTAAACTATTTGTCATTTTGTTTAGTTGTTTATTTGAAATTGTCAGAGAATTGTCATCCCTGTGGTCCAGAATAGTGAATATCTAATTTAAGGCAATTTAGGACGTATGTAAATAAAATCATGCTTTGGGAAATTATATTTAGAAAATAAAAAGTACAATTATTAAATATTAAGTGATTTTAATAATAGGACGAAAAAAAGACTAAATCAAAGTTTTGAGATGAGCAGACATTTGTTTTATAAAAAGTCATAATTAGGACTGACATAATATGCCATTTATTTTTATGCCATAATTATAACTTCTCTCAGTATGACAATGTTGACATTATTATTTTAATCTCTGTTTTAAGTTCTACCATGACAATCACTTTTCTCATAATTTTACATTTTGTCTTGTAGTTATGACATAGTATGTGGAAAATTTATTTTATCTCATAATTAATAATTGATGCATACATTTTCTTTTGTGGCAGAAATGGTCATTGTGCCTGGCATCTTTGTGAGGTGATGTTGTTACATTGCATTTTGTGGAGTAAACTGAACTGAATTATAGATTTGCCACCACAGACATCATGTAATGCCAAGTGGCAGCCGTTTAGCGGTGGCATATGGGAAAAGCTGGTACCTCTGATTGGTATTCCATTGTGGCATGTTTTGTTTTGCCTTTCCATCCTCTAGGTGTCACTGCCTGATAAAGATGTCTTCTTTCGAGTTGTCTTGCTGCCTGGAGGCACATAATGCTCACAGGAAGAATGTCAAAAGACAATGTCTCGCCGTATGTTTCGTAATGTTTCTCAGATTCCCAGATGAACTAGAACAGTGAAGGTGTTATTCCTCAGGGCACAATTACACTGCAACAGTAATTTCTGAGAAGTGTTGTTGATATTCAGGTGTGGGTTACGTAACCTTTGAACATCATTGGAAATAATCCTGCTTAGATAATCAGTTCATTTTGGGTTTACTTTAAACTGCACGGTTATGGATGGTGTTCTGACAACGAAAGTAAACAAACAGAATCCATGTCAGCAGATAAAGTGATGATTCAGTTGTCCTTGAAGATCCACCCAGTTAACGCATCATGGCACGTGCCATCAGTATCACAACTGGGTATTAATACGCCACCCCGTTCTTATCTCAAACCCAAAATGTGGGGTGTGGGATGTTTGGGACCTTGGATAAGAATGCTAGTGTTCTGGTCAGTTTTTTGTCTTTGCCAAACTTTTTCCTTCAAGTTTTTGGTTCTAGTGGTGAGACAAGGACCAGGGGTGTGTGTGTGTGTGTGTGTGTGTGTGTGTGTGTGTGTGTGTGTGTGTGTGTGTGTGTGTGTGTGTGTGTGTGTGTGTGTGTGTGTGTGTGTGTGTGTGTGTGTGTGTGTGTGTGTGTGTGTGTGTGTGTGTGTGTGTGTGTGTGTGTGTGTGTTTGTGTGTGTGTTTGTGTGTGTGTTTGTGTGTGTGTTTGTGTGTGTGTGTGTGTGTGTGTGTGTGTGTTAAAGAAGAAAATAATCTCTTGTTGGAAGAGTGCTGATGTAGCAGGTGTGTGTATCGGCTATCTGTGATGCTAAACAGATCTTATTGTCAAGTTTTTATTTGAAGTTTCACAACAAGGCATAGATTTTTGGCAAAAAAAAATTCACTCCTTTTTTTTATTAGCCAAATAAATTTCTACCTTATATTTAGGCCAATGTATTGTAAAATTTACATACTCCTAAAGGTCCATCTATTTCACCAAAAAATGTCTGGCCAAGCCATTGGGTTTTATTCAAAATGTGTTTTATGTACCTATCAAGGTCACTGATTTGAAAGCAGTTGTGCATTAATGTCTGTTGTTTGTTCAGGTTTGTCTGACCAGGTGTTCCAGAGACCTCATGGTTCGAGTAGACCAGCTGTGTGCCTCCAGGAACATTAAGGTCTTCTGTGGTGACGTGTATGGCTATAATGGGTACATGTTCTCTGACCTCGGCCAGGAGTATCACTATGTAGAGTAAGTTGAGTAACTTGGATGAAAATGAGATTGTGTTTGATTTTCTTGTGCACCAAATTCATGTTCCTGTTCAAACTTGTCAGAGAAAAGCCCAAAGTGGTGAAAGGGTCTAATGAAGCCAATGATGGTCCTGAAGCAAAGAAGCCAAAGATCGACCCCAATGAGACTACAATGGTGAAAAAGGTGGGAAATTTGGTAGATTAATTTCATAAACTATTTTTGATTTCTCAGTTTTCACTTTTAAAGTTAGTTATTGTAACTTTTCCACTTCCCTTGTAGACTATCAGTTTCTGCTCTCTGAAAGAAGCTCTAGAGGTTGACTGGACTACCGAGAAAGCTAAAAGCAGCCTGAAGCGCATTCCTGCTGACTATTTCCTTTTGCAAGGTAAAATTTTAGATGGGGCTTGGCTGATAAATTATATCATATCGAATTTCTAAAAATTTTATGTTGATAACGATGATGAGCTCTGCATATTTTTACTCTATATTACTCCTAAGTGCCAATCGCACTTCAAAAATATGCAACAACAGGAATAAATAATTGTGTTGATATTAGAGATTCACCTAATTTTTGTCCGCTGAAAATTGTCAGCTGAAAATAGTTCATGCTGCAAATTGTATTTTTTCGTGCTCTCGGTTCACTTTCCCGCCAGCAGCATCCTCCTTATGGTTGGGATACTCTTTAAAGGTGGAAGCATTCAAAACTTGTATCGAAATATATATTGTTATATCGTTCATCACAGAAAGGAATTATTGACATTGCATTTTTGTTTTATTGCCCAGCTCTACTTTTAGGTTATATTTGTTTGATTTATTTAATTTTATAACCCATGGAAAATTGAAAATGAGAAATAGACTATTTCCATTTGAAATAGTGACGCTTACAGAGCTATCTTCATCTGTGCATGTTGAGAACTGCTGGACAGAACAATTCCATTAAACACTTTGAAATGTTAATTGTGAAGTAACAAAAATTCAAGCAAATCTTTTTTATAGCTCTATTACAAATGAATAATCAGGTTCAAAGTGCTTTACAGGTACAAAAAAAAAAAAAGACAAATGACAAAAATAGACAATGCTAAAAATAGCAATGAAAAAAAGCTGCAAATGTGAAATAAATAATACTGAAAAGCAACAAAAAAAAAATTACAATATTGTTCAAAATTTTGGGCTGTTCTTTTCACAACTCAAAATCACTTCCTTTACAAAAATACAGTCATATTTTGAGATATTGTTAGAGATGTTAATAAACTTTAAAACAATTGTTAAATGTAGTTAAAATGTAATTTTCCCCTGCGATGGCACAGATGAATTTTCATCAAATCAAATATGCATTACTTTCCAACGTGGTTCAGTGTTTTATAGTTGGAAAAAATTGTACATTTTCACAGTATGTCTGATAATACTTTTTCTTCTTGAAGAAAGTCTTATTTGTTTTATTTCAGCTAGAATAAAAACAGTTTAAAAATTTTTAAAAACCATTTTCAGGTCAAAATTATTAGCCCTTATTTTCCAATAGTCTAAAGGACAAACCATCGTTAAACAATAACTTGCCTAATTATCTTAACCTGCCTAGTTAAACTAATTAACCTAGTTAAGCCTTTAATTGTCACTTTAAGCTGTATAGAAGTGTCTTGAAAAATATTTAGTCAAATAATATTTACTGTCATCATGGCAAAATAAATCAGTTTTTAGAAAGGAGTTATTGAAATTATTATGTTTAGAAATGTGTTTAAAAAAAATCTTCTTCCCGGTAAACAGAAATAGGGGAAAAAATAAACAGGGGGGCTAATGATTCGGACCTCAACTGTATATGCATGAATTGACAATAGAAAAATTGCCCATATCTACAAAATATTAGATTTATTAAAAAATTGTTATTATTAATATTATTTATTTTTATACTTAAAAATAATAATAATAATAATAATTAAAATAATAATAAAAAATTTAATATTTGAAATATAAAATAAACAAAAGGTATAAAAACTGTCCTTGAAGCATTAGAAGGCATTACAGGAAAATGTTAATAAACAAAGATAACTATCATAATAGATATTTTACACTTGGTTGACCAAGCTTTGATTGAGTCGCCTGAGACCGACACCAGGTGCAGACAGGACCTTAAATGGTTCCTTTTGCTGCAGTTTGTTTGGGCGACTGAAGGCAGTTCGTGCAGTCTGTTGTACACCGTTATCAGGGGGAGGGCCTGTTGATCTGTGTAATTATAGTTGATGTTTCTCTTTTTTTTTATATTAGCGCTCACCTGGTCTCCTCACCGAGACTGGCTCATTTTCCATCACAGGCTGTCCATGGCCAGTCATGTGCGGTGGCTCTCAAAAACAAAACATGCCACCTCCGCAGCTCTCTATCATTATAACCGCACCTCCGCCCCTCCCTCAGCATCTACTATTACATTTATGGAAAAAATAACATTTCCTATTTGTGCACTGAAGCAAGACTTTAAATAAGTTACTGTGCTTAAAAATACCACACATCAGTTCAAACAGCTTTTGAGGAAGAGCCGTTTCCTCTGTCTTAACTCACTGATTTATTTGAGGTTTTATCGCCCCACTGGTGCGACTATTACATCAATGATGGGTTTTTTTTCCAAAGCCTCAGATGTTATTTTCACAACCTGGAGAAAATTCTATAAAGAAATTCAGCTATGAAACTTGAAATTTCACCTCTGTGGCAGATAAAGTGAGATAACGTGAATGAGTGGGAGTGTGTTTCTTTGATGTGTGTGTGTATGTGCTGCGCTGCCAGGTGGAAATGCAGTGGGCTGAGGTTCATTGTGCTGCAGTTGGTGGGCAGTCAAAAAGGAGAAGTGATACTTTGGAAAATAGCCTAAAGGGGCTGAAAGCCTTTTCACGTGCTGCGCACATCTTCAAACACATCTCCCCTCCACTCACGTCCTGTTTTAATGTGGAAAACCCACTCTGTCTCTCTTGCTTCCTCCAACAGTGCTTCTGAAGTTTCGCACAGATAAAGGTCGCGATCCTCAACCTGACAGCTTTGCTGAAGACTCTCAACTGCTCTTGCAAATCCGCGATGATGTCCTTGAGACTATGGGCTTAAGCTCGGATTTGCTCCCCAACACCTTTGTCAGGTACTCACTTAACCAGAAACTCAATGTTGCCATTCATTCTCTTCAGCATCTTCCTTTATTTCTAACTGAGGATGTGAGTGGTTTGCATGAATGACTTATTTTGACCAAAATAATTGGTCTGGTTTCAGATTCAGCTGGGCGTTTTTGAGTGCAACAGAATAGAACTGAATCTAGGTGCTTTTGTCCCATTTTAAGAACAGCTGTGTGAAAATGCCCACAGATTCTAGAGTGATGTTGAAAATATATGAGAGGCAGCATAGCGTTCAAATACACTGACGTTACATTCAAAAAAAAAAAATCGACATTTCATTTTACTTTCAAACTGCATTTTTTGTCCTTGATCTCCATGTGCACAGCCTTTGAAGTTGAAAGTTTAACAGTGTGATTCTGTTAAATTAACTGCAAAAGCTCTGGGACCTGCATTTTAAATGTCAGAACCAGACATTTATGTCCTTTCGAATGTTAAAGTCAGTGTGAACAGGAAGTTGCTGAGACTTTTATTTGAGTTTGTTACTGTTCTTTCAACTGAGAACTAATGGTTAAAGGGGCGTGGTTGAGGGGTACAGTGGTCCCTCCCTCACTAAAAAGCTGTTCACTTTTCGCAGTTTTGCAGATTTTTCTGTGCAATTTAACATGCTTTTTTTCTACATCGCATTGTGTTCTGCGTCCTGATTGGCTATAGACCAGTGTCAATCAATCTCTTCTGTGTTGTGTCTCCTGTACAGTACAGAATGCATTCAGCGATGTATTTTATGTTTGCAAGTTTTCCCCCCACAATGTCGATGGAGCGTTCTGCACCCTCGAAGGCATCCACGGTAGCACCAAAAAGGCAGAGGATGCTAACCATCATACAAAAAGCTTAACTTCTGGACATGCTAATGGAAGGTAGCAGTTACGCGGCTATAGGGTTCCATTACAAAATAAATAAATCAAGATTAACTGGTTTTGATCTTTGGTTTCATTCTGTGGACTTATTTTTCTACGAAGGTTTTAACTTTGAGAGTGTTTAAACAAAAGAGAAAAGTGTGAAAATGTTAATGTCTGTCTGAGAAAAGTGTATAAAGTGTGTTGTGAGGGGTTTTACAGTCCTAAAACATCCATAATATTTAAAAAAAAAAAAAAAGCTGCGGATTTTGCCTATTGCGGGTTATTTTTAGAACGTAACTCCAGAGAATAATGAGGGACCGCTGTGTCGTAGCTGAAGCTGACAAACTAACGTCAACAGAAGGTCCTCCACTTCCAACACAGAAGAAAATGGCCAGATTTTGATTAAAGATTTCCAAAACAAACTTTTTTTAATGGAATAACTTGCACATATTAATAGCCCACCTAAAGAATAACAATGTTGACCTACAAAATAAACATTGCACATTTTGATTTCACACAGAATTGTTTTCAATTGTCAGTAACATTTGCTTTTGCAATTTTTCAACATTAAGTGTTGACTGAGCAGAGATCAAGGACCCAATTTGCATAAAAGCGTAAGTGAACAGAAAACCTCCGTGAATTACAACATTCCCCATGAATGTTTGTTTATTAACAGATTTAGTTTTTTTACAATGTGTGTAAATAGCGCTGACTGTCTGAAAAGTTATTCATAAACAGCTATATTATAGCCAATAGCAAGCTAGCAGGTCTGGACTGCATCAGAGGAAATAACTGACTGCATCAGCGATTACCCATAGTCTGTTTTCAACATTTTAAAAGGTAAGCTGAAGCTAGAACTGCAGTATATTTGTATATTGAAATGAGCAGGTCAGATGACATCAATTTAGAAGAGTCTTCTGCGTTTGATCACTCTTACCACACTCTTATGGCCATGACTCATTTGCTGACCTCATTCTCCAATCAGAGTAAGTTCTCTCTCTCATGATGGATCTCAGTTTAACCTGCTTAATCTGACAAAAAGCCCCCGACTGGTTTGGCACATGTAAACCAAGAAATAAGCTGCCTGAAGCAGAGTTTCATATTTTTAGAGTTTACGTAATTCCTGCTTTAAATTACTTTCAATTTATGGCATGTATATGTATGTATTTATTTATTTATTTATTTTTTTTCAGTTCTAGAAAAGACTTTATAGTGCATTAATGTGTACATTTACATTTTTGTCAGCTGTTTTCAAATGACAGACAGCCTTTTTTTTTCTGTTAATTTTAATTATGAAATATTCACACCTCACATGGTGAATATGTGACCGTGATGTACGACTGACTGGAATGCAAGTGGGACATTTCACTGCTAAAATTTCTGGCCTCATATGTGTCTGGAACGCAGCATTAAAGCTCGCATATACATACTTAATAAAGCACTGATGCCGTTTTTTGCCATCTATGAAAATGTATTCAGACTTATGCAGGGATCAGGAAGGGAATAAGAGTAGGTTACTCTTCTTATACTTTGAGATTCACAGGTTGTGAGAGTAGAGATTTTAACAAGACACTAACAAAAAAATAATAAAGATAATTTTGCTATGAAATAAAAAAATGTACATTTTCAAATGAATCTGTAATTGTAATATGTGCTTTGTATTTTGTGCATTATTTTTAGATTTTAAAACATTTCTTCTTGTTTAACCATCTATTGTGTCTTCTATATGTTTTTCACCAACATCCACCTTTTGAACTACCACATATAATTGTGTTAGTGAGGCCAGCAGTGGGCACACAACCTGTGGTTTGTGTGAGTCCTAATACCTCAGTATAGTGAAGGGGAAACTATACTGTCAGTGAGGAGACGTTAAACCGAGGTCCTGACTCTCTGTGGTCATTAAAAGTCCCATGTCACATCTCATAAAGAGTAGAGGTGTACCCCAGTGTCCTAGCCAAACTCCTTCTTTCTGCCCTTGACAATCATAGCCTCCCAATCATTCCCATCCCCCGATTTTGCTCTATCAGTGTCTCTTCACACCCCCTATAGCTGGTATGTGGTGAGCGCACTGGTGCCCTTGTCCTGTGGCTGGTGTCACATCATCCAAGTTGATGCTTCACACTGGTGGTGGTGTGGAGAGACCCCCCCCTCACGATTGTGAAGCGGTTTGGGTGTATGTTCATACACAATAAATGCGCTATATAAATACTCGTTACATTTGCGATGGCTGTCTGTTTTTTAAATATGATTTTTGACATGACTTACAATAAACATGAGTATAAAAAGTGAACTGAAAAAAAACCAAATAGCTGAACAGCAATTTTTTCCCAACTTAATTAGCACTCCTGGCTTGTGTTTTCTGCTCACAGTTACTGCTTCTCTGAGATGTCGCCGGTGTGTGCTGTAGTCGGAGGAGTTCTTGGACAAGAGATTGTCAAGGTGAGATTTAAAGTATTCTTTATAGATTTGTTCATTGTTTTATATATACATATATATACATGAGTAGCAGTGTGATATGGCTTAGTGTGCCACCAGTGACGATATACAGCCATGTCGCACACCTACGAGTGTGATATTGCATTTATACAACAGCTTAACGGCATAATCATGTATATAAAAAAGAAAATCAATTACGGAGAGTCTAAAAACCCTTTTGTATGAGGAACTACTTTCTTTCATCATTCAATCACATCTGCAGTTGACATCAGAACAGCAGAAATCGTTGCTACTTCACACACGTCACTTAAGAGCTAGTATTTGAATGATTCTCTAGCATAATGTCTGAAGTGATGACAAAACAGCTGATTTTGCTCACATTTCAAGATTATAAGGCTGAATAGCATGAAATGCAATCAGTCTACTGATTAACTAGCATTTCTCTGTTGCAATCGGAAAATCACAATAATTAACCCCAAAAAAGCCAAAGCATCTCAAACATTACCAGATTGCTGTTGGGTATGCAATAAGGAAAAATCACATGCGGCCAATTCTATTCACTGAACTAGTCTGCAGTAACGAAAACAGAAGACGCATTAGAAACAAACAGATGGTTAACTCAGGTTCTACAAAGAGTGGCCAACACAAAATGCATATATTCCTGATATCTGAGTCCCATCTCACACTCAATACACTACAATTACTGTGATATAAATACAGCTCTACAACATACAAAAGAGAGAAATTTACTTAGAATGTCACTCACCAATTTTATAATAATTTGATCAGCTGTAGTTTGAAAATACATCGATCTTATCTCCTGTAAAGGCTAATTGTAAAGTTTCTGTTACCATCTTGTGGATGGACAACGTCAACCATCTTTGCTCTGCTCAATGACAGGCTGATAGATGCCATCGCAACGTATCTCAAAAATTATAACTATTAAAATTGGCACTATCCTTATAAATAAACTGCATTGGTGGAATCTAAACAACTACATTCTCGCCTAAAAAAGCCTCAAAAGTGCATTATGTTGCCCAACAGCTGCAACATTTGTCAAACTGTAGTGAGTTTATTGATCTGCTGTCACTTCATGTGGGTGAAGTAATACAGAAAGATGAGGAGGCTGTACGAATTCTGATATTGCAGAATATTATTTCAATCTAATTCTCCACCCTACACTTTCATAAAAAATAGTAAATTGTGATGAGGCGCAGTGAGAAGCGTATGGCAGCTGCCCTCTCCATCAGGATCTGGGCTAAATCCAAATGTCTTATCTGTGATGGTGTGTAAATGCCAGAAATGACAAGGTAATACTCCGGTCACTGATGAAATCCAGCGGAGAGTGGCTGAAATCTACTCATATGCTCCATAAACCGTGCGAGATTAAATAACCCAAAGCGTAGTGATGTAATCAGTCGGCCTAGATTGATAATTACCTGGATTATGGACTGTAAAAGAGGATCAGCTATACTCTGGTCCACCTTCAAAACACAAACCATTACCACCTCATACAACAGCCTTTGGTGAATGCTAAACGTCAATACCGCTCTGAGAGGGTGATGTCATTGCACCGAGCGGGATGCGGTGTGGTCTTTGTATGGGGTGTTGGAGTGAATGACATGGCTGGGCAGGCCTTGAACCCACATGGCGGTGGAGTGAAGCCAGGCTGTCTCGCCATCTCCCTGCATGATGAAACAGGCTGCAATTGGCATATGGCTCTCTGTTCCTCACTGCCCCTCGTCCATCAGTCTCCGTCGCCACAACAGAGAACGTGTCCGACGCCTTCAATCAAAGCAGTTCATTACCCAAGTGGTTCTGTGTCGGTGGCGCCTGATGTGATTTGTTTGCATGTGTTCCGCAGGCGCTGTCTCAGAGAGATGCTCCGCACAGGAACTTTTTCTTCTTCGACGGCCTGAAGGGCAGCGGGGTGGTCGACTACTTCAGCTCCAAATAAGTGGCCTCGGGAGAACACAGAGCCGTGCATGTGGAGCTCATCCTCTGCCAGTGGCCGCAGGCATCAAAATCTGTCTTTTGGACGATACCTTTGCGTAGCTGTTTGCCACACGTCAACTAATGCCAAGAGCAACCAGAACATTTTGTCCACACACTCTTGAATATTCATGCACACACATTTTTTTTTCCACCAGGGTTGTGATTTCTACTTTTTGTATTAAAATAATAAAAGACCAATGGAAATAAATGAGTGCTTCTAGTGTCTTTTTTTAAAACTCGGCAGCCACTGGTTTAGTCTGCTTACTAGAAATGAGTGATTAAACACTTCGCTTACCAATAAAAAGACTGTTAGTGGCACAGCTACAGTGCTCAAATTATTTAAGCATCCTTAAGCTTTTCTAACTCCAGATTAGTTTCTGATGCATTCATTTTTGGGTCCTTGTAAGGAACTGATGACTACATGCTTGACCTTTTTTATGCACCAAGAAATGGAAAGTAGGATTCACACCAATAACAACTACTGTATAACAATAACTTGTACCTGTTCTTATTATTCTGTTTAATATAAGAGTTTTAGTTTTGTCATCGTAAGATACATAAAGGTTTGTGTCATGTACAGCAGTGTAAATATAATACTAAAAGTTTTTTTTAATAATCCAATTGTACGGTGGCTGAGAGAGATTAACATGCTGAAATAAAAAAAAAACACCGACAAGTAAAAAATTATCTTCATCAGTTTGACAGCACACATGCTACAAATCCTCACAATGCAAACACATGAAAACGCACTGCATTTTCCCACAACGCAAACAAAATGCCAAAACGCGATGCATTTTCCTACAATGCAAACAATTTACGAAAATGCACTGCATTTTCACACAAATTAATAAAATGCGCTGCATTTTCCCACGACGCAAGAAAATTAACAAAACATGCTGCATTTTTACAAACATTAATAAAATGAGCTGCATTTTCACACAAACAAATTAATAAAACACATTGCATTTTCCCACTTTCGCAAACAAATTATCAAAAGGCGCTGCATTTTCCCACAACGCAAGCAAATTAACTAAACATGCTGCATTTTCCTACAATGCAAACAATTTACAAAAACGTTGCATGCTCTCACAATGCAAACTATTTATGAAAACACGCAGCATTTTTCCAAAGCGCAAACTATTGAAACGCGCTGCAGTTTCTCACAACGCAAACAAATTTCAATCCAAACATCAAAGAGACTATTAACTTTTATTAATGTTTCAGTAACTATATATTTATGTAACTGACCTCAGACCAGGTAAAAACAATGTGGACAGGTTCATGGCTTCTAGCAGCAAGCCACAGAAAACCAGAAACACTTCAAAACACTTGTGAAGTAACAAATGACCAGACTTCAGGAGTTTGATACATGATCCAAATCGCACTTTCAAAAAAATATATTGGCAAAGCTTCCAGAAATAATGTTTAGACCCAGCAGAAACACGTTCCTCTAACAAGTTTTGAATTCTGTTATTTTTATTTATTTAATTTTTTTGATTACATTTAATGCTTATTAATTTTTTTTAGCAATCAAAACATAGCAATAAATAATAATTGTTGCTAAAGTTTTCACTGTTAGCCCTAAAAATTTATGGCATTTAAAATGAATGCAAATATGTCTCTCCCTTGAGTCATTTATTTCAGAAAATTCAACCACGTGAATACACTGCTTCTTCTGACGCTTGTTATCATTCTGACATACTAGTGAAAGCCTGAGGCGTATCTTGACGTATTTTAGTCAGCTCTAGGGATTTTTTCAGGTATGTCATTACTGGACTGGTACTGCAGGGTTTATGCCCTCGAGGCGAATGGGAAGTCATGTTTTGATTTTTCTGTTTTCGTTGAAGGGAATTATCCTGCTCGTCCAGTTGAAGGAATGCTAAAGCACGTACTGTAACATTTGGTACTTTTGATAGTCCAACCAAATGATGAGGGGAAACCATAACTCGTGTATAGGAATAGAACAAACTGTACTAAACGTGTCACGTTTGTTTGAATATGATGATGAAGATGATGATGTTTGAATATGCTGTGTCTGTGCTGCAGACATGCAAAATCAAGACTTCAGGCTTTGAAATGGATCGTAAGCGTGTGCCTTGTATGGCAACACAGCATGGATGAGTCATTGTGAGTCAGATGAGATTCTGGTCAAACTGGTCCAACAAGTGGGAGTGGCGGCAACTCTTGTAACCGTTTTCGTTTTGTTTTTTTTAAGGTTCAGGGAAATTGTTGACAGTGGAAACGTGGTTACTGTGTACAGCTAATAGGCATAACTCTTTGAAGATTTTATCATTGCAGGGTGAAATCAGATGGAAAAGGCCTTTAACTGTACTGTGCTAATAATAACAAGACAGCTATGTTAAAGTTCACTGAGACACAAACTCCCACATTATATCAGCTTGTACATGCCATTATGGTAATGTGTGCATGTTCTTAATATGACTTCTAGGTATTATATGAATACCTTGTATGGATTAAAAAAGAGCTAAAACAAGATAATCAGCATAACTATATCTAGATTTTAAAAACTTCTTATTCCATTTTTAACATAACAAATGACTTTTTTTAGTCAGTCTTGATAAACTCTTTCTAATAATTAACTTCAAACGCAAATAACTTAAACAGCAATAGAACCAAATCCCCACTATTTGATCAGAAATAGGCTACTATGTAAGAACTTGCATAGTAATGTTCAAATAACTAGTAACAGATTTTATATTTATATTAATCAGCCAATCACTGACCAGTTTGATGTTTTAATTCAGTTGATTATGGAAGCCTGTTTCTGCCATATTATAAAAAAAGATATTTTTATCCCACTTTTTTCAGAATTGTTTTATTGCTAATAGCTAAAACTGAGCGATACGAACTCAAAATTAAAAGAGTAAAAGGGCAAATTTGGAGAGCTTAATTCGCAGTTGTGACTTTATAACTTAATTTAGGAAGCAGAAACTCTGAGGGAAGAGTTGTCGGAATTGGAAGTTTAAAATTGTGAAATACAAACTAAGGTCTGAGAAAAAAAAGTCTGAATTTTAACTTGAATTTACTTATTTATTAGGATTTATCCCTTGAGATGTAGCGTACCATCGCATTTTCAAGGTGGTCCCACCATGCAACACAACCACAACATAATAACGAAAAAAACAAAACACAAATTAACATTACATTCTTGAACAACAACAATACCTAAACACAAACATCAATTGAAGAAATAAAAGCACCACAACATTAATAAATGTCAGAATTATGAGGTATAAACTTACAATCTTTAGAAGAAATATTGGATTGTGGGCAACTAAAAAAAAAAAGATGAGCACAGTGTGAAATGAAGAATTTACTGTGTTTATTCTGGCGGAAACCATAATTTGTCCACCTTCAGTGAGTTTTGATAAAAAAAATCCCAGATATTTTATTCAGTGACTCAAAATGTGTTAAGACAAACAGCTAAATAATTCTGGACCATAATTACAGTTCATGTTAAACTTAGGGTGGCACGGTGGTTCAGTGGTTAGCACTGTCGCCTCACAGCAAGAAGGTCACTGATTCGAGTCAAGGCTGGGTCAGTAAGCATTTTTGTGTGGAGTTTCCATGTTCTGCTCTTGTTTGCGTGGGTTTCCCCCACAGTCCAAAGACATGCGCTATAAGTGAATTGAATAAACTAAATTGGTCATAGTGTATGGGTGTTTCCCAGTACTGAGTTTTGGCTGGAAGGGCATTCACTGCATATAACATATGCTGGAATAGTTGGCAGTTCATTCTGCTGGGGCAACCCCTGATAAATAAGGGATTAAGCTAAAGGAAAATGAATGAATGAATTAAACTTAATCTAACTGCTTGAAAGTGCACAGTATTTTCTGTTCCTCATAAACGTCTAGCACAAATATTGTATTTTCAGTGCTGTTCAATTGCAAACTCACAGGGATAATGAAGTAAAGTAATGAAGTCCAGTTCCTTCAGTCCTCCGCATCACTGCCAGTGTCAATGTAGTGAGAAATGAAACTCGGATTGATTAAAATCCACTGCTATTTCTCTAGTAGAGAGCAGGATTAATTACGGACTCTGCGCTAAGCTTCTCCTTTTAATTAAGCAACCTTGGTATCGTCGAGAAGAAACCCCCAAGGCGAGATGTTTTTACTCTACAACAGATGTGTTGCTTCCAGCTATATAGTGCATAAACAAAGAGCAGTCCTCAAAAGATCAACACTGCCTTCAGGAACACTGGCTAAGGCTGAGCGCTCATGCACGGCTGATGTTCTGGGCACAGGCAAATCAATCTTTCACATCTTGTTCTGATAAGAGTAATGTTCTCAGCGTGAGTACAGTCAGACTGTCCCAAAACTGCATCGCTGTCTTAAATATGGAAACGAAAATCATCTTCATGCTCTTCACAAAACACAACGGGAATAGTGCGGGGCTAGATCAGTATAAAAAACACATTTTAGAAATACAATTTATACATCCACAGCACAATTCACATTTACAAACTCCAGTTTGTAAATTCAAACTCAAAAATACAACACACAATTTATATATTCACAAGTAAAAGTCATAAATATTTGTGCCAAATTAATTGAATGATTTCTGTTTATGAATTGTGATTTAAATTTACCAATTGTATTTGTGTATTTAAAATTTTTTTTTTAAATTTTCTAAATGTGAATTGTGTTGTGGAATTGTATTGCTTTGAATTGTAGTTTTGTAAATGTATTATTTATTAGACATCTAGCTGCACAGTAACGAAATCTCACTGTAGCATTTATTTTAGGTTTGACTTATGGAGCATATTAGTGTTTCCTATGAGCCTGTATTAAATGGCTAACCTTATGGATAGATGTTAGTCAATGTTTTAATGTACCCTGTAAAAGATATCTGTAAAGTAACAAGTTTGTGATTTACAAGTATTTTCTGTTTATTTACGGTTATGAAAAGCATTATGGGATGTTGATCTCTGCTCTGTCGACTTTTAATGTTGAAAATTTAACTCTGGAGCTTTAACAGAGTGAGTTTTATTGACATTTTAAGCAGTTTAAGACAAGATATTGTTTAAAAACTCATATATAGAGCTCTAAGCTTTTAAAATAACAGAAAACATATTTTGAGTTTATTGTCAGGTTTTGTACTGTAAAGTAAAACAGCAACTCAGACAATAAATCACTTTAAACTATTCAGTGTCAATAAAAGCTTTTCAGCATCAAAAGCTTTTGGAGGAAAGATCAAGGACCAATAATGCAATTGAAAAGTTTAAACAAGTGGGAAAAAACAGGAATCACAAAATAAGGAAAAATACAGATATATATATATATTTTTACAGTGTAGAGTTTACATTGCAAAGCCTTTAATGTATTCATTATTAAATTCATTGATGATATACTGCCACAGTTTTGAGATTACAAGAGGAAAGAGTATCATATAGCCTACAATATGGTGGTGTAAAATATTGATGATAACCATGGGCTTTTTAAATAGATTTTTACAAAACAACTGTAATGATCCTCACACCAAAAACCCTGATCAAATATATGGATGATATCTGGACGTGTCCATCATGTCTTGCTTTAATTTATTCTTTTACATTGTAAAAAAAGTTCTGTAGGAAAAAAGAAAATGAGTAAATGTCCAGTTAGTAAAAAGTTTTATTACGTACAAACTACTTAAAAATATGTGTTTGCCTTAAAAAAAAAACATAATGAGGATACAACAGATTTTTTGGCATTTAATACATAGTTTTGGGCACTTTATGTATGCATAAACTCAAAAAAGTGTCATTCTTTTATGTTTATTCATTAATTAATTCAATTTCCTTTAGCTGAGTTCCATTATTCTTCTGGGGTTGCCACAGCGGAATGAACCGCCAACTTATCCAGCATATGTTTTATGCAGCAGATGCTTTTCCAGCTGCAACCCAGTACTGGGAAACACCCATACAACCTCACATTCACACACATACACTACGGCCAATTGTTTATTCAATTCACCTATAAAGCATGTCTTTGGACTGCAGGGGAAACTGGAGCAGCTGGAGATAACCCACACGAACATGAGGAGAACACGCAAACTCCACACTGAAACTCCAACTGACACAGCCGGGACTCGAACCAGCAGCCTTTTTGCTGTGAGGTGACAGTGCTAACCACTGATCCACCATGACCCCTTATTTTATGTTTAATCCACCTAAATTTATAAAAATGAAGTTAATTGATTTGTGTTGGGACAACATGAAGAAATTGTGAATCCCAGCCCTTTTTGACAGTGTATCTTTGCATTCAATAGTAAATAATTCAAATCAACTGACTAACAATAACAACACAAAATCAAAACACTTTTGTAATTGTCATATTTATTGAAAACGGTGAAGAAAAAAAAAACTATACAAAAATTCATGTAGAAATTTTACATAGAAAAATTTCAAATGGCAAAAGTACAAAGCTAGAAAATGAGTCATGAGTTTAGTGTAAATCTGACAGTACAAATAAGGCCTTTCCGCATCAGCGAACAGTTTGGTTGAAAGTCACAAGGTGGCCACAGGAAACAGACCACACAACTGTTGTTAAACAGGAAGTCATGAGACAAGCGGCCACAGGAAACACATCTCTGCTCCACAACATGCCATGACCGACACTACAGAAGCCGACGCAAACACAGAAATGAGTGGTTGAAGGAGTTTACACACCGACCGGCCACAGTTGTTCAAAAGTGGTTTCTAAGGGAAGTGCTTGAAACCCATAACAGTGTTACGTATCTGTAAAAGTCCCAGACAGACCTGGATCTGACACGATGATTCAGTCTGTTCAAGTATGATCAAAGTTTGGCTCAGTTTAGTCCTTTTTGTAGACAAATAAATTACAGCAGAATGAAAGAAAAAAAAACAGGAAATGAATGGATTGTTCTTACAACCTTCAGGGGAATGTCAACAAATAAACGACAGAGAGATTTGGTCCATAGGAACACAACACTAATGAAGATCTCCATGCTTATTCAATCCACTTCAGTTCCGCCTATAACAAATGGACGCTCAATAAATTAGCTTGTGCTTCTCAAATATATTTGTTTGAGAACTCAATTCGCAAAGTACATTTTTATCATGGGGAGAGGGGTGCTCACTTATTTTTACACGATATATTTAATTAAGTTCCAGAAACAGACAGAAATCCACTGGACTTGAAAACAACTGCATTCCAGTGTCGGCCCCCCAAAAAATAAAGCTCATATAACGAAACCAAACTGAAACCGAAAAAGGAACTTAATGTTAAGTACTTTAAGGTCATTTCATCAAAATATAGAAACCACATAAGAAACCAAAAAACTCCCTGTTTATTCTATCCTCAAAATATGTACACTTGCAAATATTAACACTGCTCTCCAGCCATTTCCATTACTAGTGGTCTGGCTTTCTCCTTTGCCTCCATTGGAGGCGACCAGTCTTTAAATTAAGTGGCAAATCTGTGTCCCGAAGTTTAGATTCAGCTAGGGGGCGACAGTATGGGTTAACCCGCACACTATTCAATGATTGTCCCTAATGGCTTTAGTACAAAAAGGGTGTTCGCAAGGCACGATCCAACTGTGCTCCATTAAAAAGTACACACACGTTCCATTACTGCAGTAAATATCACCCGTTTACCATTAAAAGGGTTCGCTTTAGAAAATCAATTATGTCATCGTATATACTCACCCTCAAGCTTCGGAAGATCTTTTTAATGCAATCTGAGACACTTCTGTAACCGTAAATCTATTCATTTTCAAAGGAATTAGAAATGAATGATGTATTGAGGTATTCTACGGGGGATTTACATGATGACCTGATTGAATTTATGCTTTTATTTATATTATTAACGCATTGATTCTTGCATGTGAAGCAAGCTGTAAACATTGTTTGCAGTTCAGTGTTTATATGTGAATATATAAACCTAAATTAAATCTGTTCATCATTAAAAAAAACTCCAATTTCTTCAGAAAAATGCATTTTCAGTAAAAGTGAAGGGGCTGAAATCTCAGATTCAGTCTAAAATATTTTCATCCATGTGTTCTGAAAATGAACGTGTTTTGAATTTACGAATTGTATTAGTGTGTTTTTGTATTGTGTTTTAAATTTACGAATTGTAATTTTGTAAATGTGAATTGTGTTGTGGATGTATGAATTATATCTTGTAAATGTATTATATTTGAGACTGGCTTCATAAAAAAAGAGGTCAAAGATAGCGAAAACTTACTATAGATTTTATTTTTGACTTAAGGAAACTGAGCATATTAGTGTTTCCCATGAGCCTGTATTAAATGGTCGAATGGGTGGATATTAGTCAATGTTTTGACGTACACTGTAAACATATCTGTAAATACAATTTTGTGATTCACACATTTTCTGTTTATTTACGGTTGTGAATTGAATTATGAGATGTTGATCTCTGCTCTGACTTTTGATGTTGAAAATTCAACTCTGGAGTTTTAACAGAGTGAGTTTTACTGACATTTTAAGTAGTTAGAGACAAGATATTGTTTAAGAAATCATAAATAGATAAGTTAGTTTTTTTAATAACAGAAAATGTACTGGCTGCTTATTGCCAGGTTTTTGTACCGTAATTTACAACACAAGCCTAGACAATATATCCATTTGAATTGTGAAAAAATATCAATAAAAGACCATTTAAAAAAAATCAACATCAAAAGCTTTTGGAGGAAAGATCAAGATCCCATAATGCAATTGAAAAGCCTAAATGAGTAATAATGGGTAAAAAAACATGAATCACAAAATACTCAATTAACAGATTTTTTCCGAGTTTACATTGCAAAGCCTTTAATGTTTTCATTATTGAATTCATTAATGATACACTGCCAGTTTTTATTGTTGTTGTTCCTGAATTTTCAAATTACAAGAGGAAAGAGTATCATATATCCTACACTATGGTTAGAGTAAAATATTGATAATGATAATATTTCACGTGTTCAGCAAATGAACAAATTTACGAGTGTTGAATGAAAATTAGAGGTGCGTAAACGATGACAGAATTGAGATTTCAATATTGTGCGAGTGCTTGTCCTGCGCTGTTGATGACTGATAGTGCAGCGCAGTTATTGCTCCTGTAAGGCAGCGGAGAGGAAAACCCATTACCCATAAAGCACTTCTAGGCTCAGTGTGTTTGTTTGAGAGTGACCCGGTATCATGTAACTTCCAGCACTCCAGTTAAAAATGCAAAAATGAGTTCACTAATTCGCCACTTACTCCTAACTGACGTCTATCCCGGGACACACGCTTCAGTCACTATATGCTACATTTATGAAAAAAAACAAAAAAACAAACACAGATAAAGAAACAAACATGGCGTCTGATCCTGCAGAAAAATCCCAGAGTCTGTAAGTGTTGGAAAGGAGAGCGCCTGCACTCGTCCTGTCCTTTGTAACCCGTGTGTTCATCTGAGGCCGTGCTGGTAGAGGGCATTGATGGTGTCCGAGACCAGCGCCATGAGCCCGCGGTACAGGCCTCTCCAGTTCTGCCAGTGCGGGACGGCATTCTGAAACAAAAGAAGAGAGAGCGGAGTGAGATCATCGCCGTCTGTTTTATGCAATATCAAAAGAGTGAAAGGAAACAGGAGAGTCACAAAGAGCTTGTTTTTGTAGATCACATCCAAGAATGTGAAAGCCTGAAGCTGACAGACAGCCCTTCAGAGCTCATTAATCAGCTGACTGTGTGAACAACAAAGTAATTATCTCTATAGCACTTATACCAGACTAAATACTTTAGTACATTTTTAATATAGTTCAGTGCATTTATAATATATTAGCTTTAAAGCGATAGTATACCCAAAACTGAAAATGATGTCATCATTTGCTCACCCTGCACCTGTCACAAACTTGTTTGAGTTTCTTTCCTCTGATGAAACTGGTAACCATTGACTTGCATAGTCATTTGTTTTTTCTTCTATTACATTTCAATGGGTACTGGTTTCTAACATTCTTCGAAATATCTTCTTTTGCATTTATCAAATGAAAGCAACTCATAAATGTTTGGAACCACTTGAGAACGAGTAAACCGTGAGCAAATTTTACATTCTTAGAAATATCTACTTCTGTGTTTTTCAGATTAAGGAAACACGTAAATGTTTTTAACCACTCGAGAATGAGTACATTTTTACATTCTTCTAAATATCTTCTTTTGCGTTCTTCAGATGAAACTCATAATTGTTTGAAACTACTTGAAAATGAGTAAATCGTGAGTAAATTTTTAAATTCTATTAAATATCTTCTTTTGCCTCATCAGATGAAAGAAACTCATGAATGTTTGGAACCACCTGTGAACGAGTAAGCAGTGTGTCAATTTTTACATTCTTTGAAATATCTTTTTTTGCCTCATCAGATGAAAGAAACTCAAAAATGTTTACCTGACGCTGAGTAAATCGTGAGTAAATTTTGACATTCTTCAAATTATCTTCTTTGGCGTTGTTTAGATGAAAGAAACTCATAAATGTTGGGAATTACCTGAAAACTAGAAAATTTGAGTTTTCTGGGGTGAACTTTGCTTTTAAATGTAATATCAAATATAGTTCAAATTCAGAAGTACAAATTCAGAAGTACTCTACATATGATTGTGTGTGCTAGTCAGTACTTCAAAATAAGTGTACTTATTTAAAGCACAAGAAAACTAGAGGGACTTGATTTTAAATGTAAAGTACAATTTACAAACAAGATATTTTAAAGTGTCCTTAAATGTGTTCTTTTTGTGTTCAGACCAAAAGTTTATTGTTAAATCTATTTTAGATTTGAAGTGACAATTTAAAAAAGCTAATTTTATTAATAAGGATAAAATTAAAACACGGCAAAGACAATTGCTTGAGATTTTCCCCTGTGTGGAAACCTTTGCTTTATATAAATCACTTGTTCCACCTCTTCAATCCTACACAGCCGTGAGGTAAACTTTTTGGACCAACAGGAACACTCGCATCAAGAAAATAAAGCTTTGTGTTTGAGTAGGAGTGTGTGAAGGGTTATGTTAGCATAGTAGTGTGTGTGTGTGTGTGTGTGTGTGTCTCAGACAGACAGACAGCCAGTGTCTGCAAAGTGGAGTCAGGAGAGCAGCACATTACTGTCAACAGCTGCGATGAGTCATGCGCTAAAAATAACTCCTCGCAGGGGGGATCAAGTGAAGGAGACATGAAATAAGACAGTGACACTGAAAGAATGAGCCAATCACTGAGAAAAGTGCAGCAGGGCAAATATCAACACAATATTGAAGAGTGCAGGGTTACCACTGCTTTCAGCTGCTGCATTTGTAATGGACTTTTTTTTTACTTAATGTTTAGAGTAAGGTTTTTCTGCTGATGAACATGATTATTTAAAGCTTAAATATTTAAATAAATTATATTTATTAAATCAATTTTTAAAAAAGTCATGTAAAATTACTAAGATAAAAAAATGACTAAAGATTTAGGAGTTTTATTAAGAACAATTCAATTCAATAAACATTATGTCTATTCCACAAGGGTTAGAAGATTGTCTACAGACACAGGCTCACACATAACAACAAAACATAAATACACTTATACAATTATTTTAATAATAAAAGCAATGGCAGTGGGAATAAAAGTCTTCTTGTACTTAAGTCTTTTTATACCATGTACCAGATGGAAATAACTTTAAGGAACCATGTAAAAAATGGGAAGAGTCTTCAACAGAAGTGGAGCTTATTATTTTTGTCGCTGCTATAAATAAATTAGTAAGAGGTGTTTGTCTCTCACCAATTATTTTACTCTCTGTTTACTAACCTTAAAAGTTTATTTGTGCTTTTAACAGAGGCAGTTAAACCAGGCTACAATGTTAAAAGTAAGGACAGGTTACTTAACAATGTGGTATAAAATATTAATGCCCATTAATATACTTTATAATTTTTTTATAATAAAACATTTTATATATATTAACTAGGCATGGGACGATAACCGTTTTCAAGGTTTACCGCTGTTTGGAATAGTCAAGGTTTTAAAACCACCAAAAATGTATGCTATACCGTACTTACGGTAAATGTATTTTTTATGTACGTGACTTTTACAGCTATTTAATTCAGCTTTTTGGGGGCAACAGTATCTCCAGCTGAAAAGGACTGTCCACATCAAAAGCTACCGGTTCAAAATATTTTAAATGTTTCTTAAAATAAAATATATTGTGTTCATTGAAAAGAAAAATGTTGTTTTTTTTTACCCAGACATTTATAAAGAACTCATTTTAGAGAAGTAAACACAATACCGTGATATTTTTATTCTGGTTATCCTGTCAGAATCTTATATTCTATGCCTAGATTATAACAAAAATATGTTTACATTTACTATGGAAACCTTGAATTTGAAGTACTTTATTACTTATTTTATGATCAACATGCTAAATGAAATTGGTATATTATGTAATATTAAAGTATAATGTATTAAATAATGTATTATAAAATGTTAGAATACAAAAAATAAAAATTACAAAACATTTTTGTATATATATATTATATTTATTACATTATTATTAGGCCCGTAGCCAGGGCGAGTTCGGGCAGTTCGACAGACCCACCCCCCACTGACAGAATTTGGTCCCTATTTGAACTCATTTGTCCCGTTTTTGACAGTATGCCATCATAAATTGTAAAAATAATTTTTAATTATTACAATTGACAAATTCTCACTGAGAAAATGAGCTGGCCAGTTTATTATTTACCTACAGGCTACAGTTTTTAATATATGTTTTACATGGTTTCCTATAAGTTTTAATTCCTAATGATAATATATTCCATGATAATAAATTTGTATTTAAAATAAGTATTTTTCATAAACATTATTATTCATTTAATTTTAAATTCTAATCTCATTACATTATTTATGAAAGTGCAATAGCTTTCAGTTTAAACGCATATTTCTAAATAAACAGTTTGTAATAAAATAGTATGGTAAGCATTTTGACAAAATTGTAGGAAATATTTTTGTTGGATCAAAAAATGTGGTTATGATCACAATGCGACAAGCTAATGCAGCAAAGATAAGTGCTTAAAATGACACTAAAGTATTTGAACCTCATAATTTATTAGAAATTGTGTAGAATAACTGCAAAAAGCTCCACTTTTGGAGAAAAATGGTTCACCCCTTCCCTACGAGCCTGATTATATATACATTTATTAAAAGATTTTTATTTGAATTGAACTGAATGAATGAATTGCTGTTGCTTTAAACGTTGATCTAGATCCTTAGAAACAGATGTAAGAGCTGACGATGGAAGACTGACCCAGAGCACGTGCTGAAAACTACAGTCTCCAGCGAGGAGGACGAGACTGCAGAGAGAAGTGAGTGAGTTCATAAGGGCAGGAGGAGGATCTGTGGTCCATCAGTCTCACATGCCCACGGTGAAAGAGAACTGCACTTGTGCACACACACACACACACACACACACACACACACACACACACACACACACACACACACACATACTGTGCTTTTGTTGCTCAGCCTGTATATAGGGAAGTCCCTGTCATGCCATTCTCCTGCCGGCCTCAGTAAACAAAGCCATCATCCAGTAAAAACACACTGCTATCAGAGTTCAGTGAGGCCACGCCACAGGTCGCAGGCTTTCTGCACGTGACACACACTGCCTTTTATTACATCGCGTGTGTCGACGCAGGTGTGTAAGTCTGAGCGGGAAACTGGGACGAATGTGCGAAAAACAATCGACTCTTACTGAAAATGAGCAGCGAGCGCACACACTTAAAGGGACAGTTCAATCAAAAATGAAAATGTTCTCACTGTTTACACACCTTCTAGCAAACCCACGGGAGAAAATGTTCTGCAGAATGTTGGAGATCGATAGCTACTGACTTTCATAGTAGGAAATATGTATAAATACTATAAGAGTCAATGGCCACTGGTTTTCAACATTCTTCGAAATGTCTTGTGTTCAACAGCAGACAGGTTTAGAACAAGTGAAGGAGGAGTAAATGATTTTTTGGCTGAACTATCACTTTAACTCTAGGTAAATATGAGGCAGAGCGGTGACGTCATGTGTGTTTGTCTGAGGAGCGGAGCGGGAGCTGGGGGGAGGGGAGATTAGCCTGTGTTTACTCCTGAGCGCCTCACAGAACAGATCCTCACGCTATACAACAGGGATCCAGAAAGAGAGAGAGAGAGAGGGAGGAGGGAAGGTTATTAAGTTCGTCCACAACTGGAAACTCGACTCCAGTCACAACACTCACTACAGGCTTGTGAATATCGTATTGATCCATTTACTAGAAGACCCACTGGAGGCTACATTTGAGCACGGCCCAGCACACTCGCTCATAATCACAAACACACACTGACCGCTTACTTTAGGATTCTGAATAATGCTTTGCCATAATTAAACTATCACAACTAGACAAAACTTAAGAATTTGTAGTATTTTAGGGGGGATTTTAACCATGATTAAAAAATATCTTGTTTAAAGAGTTAGGTATTTTGGCTGGTTTAAGCCTGTCATCATGGATAAATAGATATGACACTAGGGGCAGGTGTCCCTCGTAGTGTTGAAAATGCCAGTGCTCTTCTAAACAATGCTCAGCAGCGAGTGCTACTCCAATTGTTGGAGCTTGTAAAAATTGCTGAGAACGTTTTACAAACACACACTTAGTACCTTGCAACACTGCTAGTGCTTCAAAAACGTGGCGCTTCTATTAGCTATGTTTCCACATCAATTTTCAAAATGCGCATAAACAATTTGTGCTCATAACTGAGTAGGATAAACTTTTTATTCGATAAGAAAAGATGCGGGCAATGCAGTGGCGCAGTAGGTAGTGCTGTCGCCTCACAGCAAGAAGGTCGCTGGCTCGCGGGTTCGAGCCTTGGCTGAGGCAGTTGGCGTTTCTGTGTGAAGTTTGCATGTTCTCCCTGCGTTCGCGTGGGTTTACTCCGGGTCCAGATTTTCGCATACATTTAATTAGCATATTTGGATGGAAACATAGCTAGGGACAACAGTTAAAAAAGCCCTGCTCTGCTCAGATAAAAATCCTGCCACAATGGCAAGGCAATTCACATTGCTTAGCAACATAAAGAAAACAATGTAAAGATGACATGTGCAACTCACTAAACAACCAGTAGGTGGTGACTAATCCCTATTTTAATGAAAGGTTCACCAAATCGTTCAATCAAACAACTGATTCAAAATGGCTGACCCAACAAGCAAGAGACTTAGCATGTACTATTTTGAGGTACTCGTCCCTATACCCTAATCTTTTCAAACAGTTTACCACTGGAAGGATAGTTTTAAAGGGCTTAAGGCATAGTGATGAGCCCTTCCGAATGGAATGCACTTTTCAACAACAAACAATTGATCACAGGGGCTCAAAAGTTGTACGCAAACTCCTAAACTCCTAAGGGCCCTTAGAAGTGGCCCATTTAAAGCATTTTGATTTGGAACGACACTTTAATTTGGCAGCCATGATTATTTTCACTGCAATTTCTTTTTGTCATACAATGATAATCACAGCTTTAATTTATTGTAATTGGCAGTCCCTTACAACAACGCTGTGAATGTAACCAAGCATGACTCTTACCCTCTGAAGGAAGACAGCGTTCATCTCGTCCCCAATTGTCCTCAGTTGTACGGCCACCCTCTCCACAGCCTGCTCCTCCAGTGTGGGGTCCTCCTCAGCGGTCGAGCTGCTGCTGGACGTGGACTCCTCTGAGGAGCTCTGGTTGTCTGCTAGCAGATCTGGCAGAGGAAGAGGCCTGGACACTTCCTGTTCTGTTCCTATACAAAAACAAGAAGAGTAAAATCAATAGTGTATGCATGAAATATACATTTTTAAAGAACAGAGTTTATTTAATTATCATATATTTTACTTCATAAATCATTAGGATTTTGGGATTTACCAAACCTGGCATTTTACAACCTGAATAAACTTTATCTTGCGTAAAATAAGAAACTATTAACTAATAAAATAAGTTTATTACCTTCTTCATGATAAACACTCCTATTTCTTTGTGTTGAGGATGTTCATTTGTTAGCAGTACTATATAAACTATTATTAGAATTATTAGCCCCCCGGTTTATTTTTCCCCCCAATTTCTGTTTAACGAGGAGAAGATTTTTTTTGACACATTTCTAAACATAATAGTTTTAATAACTCATTTCTAATAACTGATTTATTTTATATTTGCAATGATGACAGTAAATAATATCGGATTAGATATTTTTCAGGACACTTGAAAAGATACAGCTTGAAGTGACATTTAAAGGCCTAAATTGGTTAATTAGGTAACTAGGCAGGTTATGGTAATTAGGTAAGTTATTGTATAACGATGGTTTGTTCTGAAGACTATCAGAAAAATATATATATATAGCTCAAAGGGGCTAATAGTTTTGACCTTAACATGTTTATTTAAAAATTAAAAACTGCTTTTATTACATTTGAAATAAAACAAATAAGACTTTCTCCAGAAGAAAAAATATTATGAGACATACTGTGAAAATGTCCTTGCTCTGTTAAACATCAGTTAGGAAATACAAAGGGGGGCTAATAATTCTGACTAACTGTATGCAGAGTTTAGATGCAAAAACGTCCAAGTGCTGTTGAAAATGAACCCTTTTCTCAGCCTCCTTTGTTTATGTTGAGTTATTTCATTATAAGACCATAAATATTAATTATCCTTTGCCTTGAAAGTGATATTTCTGAACCTACACACAGGAGCCTAATAAAATTATTTTTTAGAAGAAAATTTTAGACGGCACTTAGAGGTTTTTGCATCTCAGCTCTTCATATGTTAATAACTTGTTATATGTAAGTAATATAGTAATTTGTTTTCAGAAGATCTGTAAAATTTTTGAACCTTCTCAGGAAAGTGTTACAAACTAACAAACAAATATTTAATAAAATAATGAATTACAACGTTACATATTGAAAAAAATATTATAATAAGAAATAATAATATACAGTCTTTTAAAGAATTATTTAAATTATAATTACTACTTCATATCATCATCTTTTTTGACTTTATAGATTAAATTACAATCTATAGAAATCCCTTAGAAATGATAGATTAATAAAATTAATAAAATAACACCATTGAATCCAAACAGAAGTAAATCATTTTTTAATATATTTACAGATAAATGAATGAATAAGCATTATACTACTGACACATTCACTTATTCATTAAAAGTATTATTCAAATGCATAACCACCGGTGGCTTTTTAACAACACACTTTGTATTTGCAGAACTAATTGTGCGCAACTGATCCACTGCTGAGCCAGCATTTATTGTCATGCTATATGTCAGTACTGTTGCAAGTTCACTTAAGGTTACTACTTTAAGTAAAAACGCCCCAGGCACAATGTTAACAGTATTCTCATAACCAAAGCAAGATATATGAGACTGTTGGACGGGTTCAGTTGGGGTCACTATTATTTAAAGATCCATTTAACACACCGACATGCAAAGAAGCGGGTAGTCTAACCAAATACAGATTCAGCAGAGATTACAATGGCAGAGAGATTTCATATACAATGCTGAGCCAAATTTTTATTTGTTTAAGAAACTTTTGCAAGCATGATGAGCCACAATGGTTGTTTGGTTATGTCGTGCTAAGTTTTGTATTAAACTCATATTTTGTGTGTATGTGTGTGTGTTTTACAGTATGGTGGCTTCAATACTGTCAGATCAATTCTACAACTGCTCATTAACTTGTATTGATCAAATGCAGGCTTCAAGTCCTCGTTGTTTAGGTCACAGTAGGAAAACCGAAATATGTAAAGCACCTCTAAATGAGTACTGTAGTTGAAACATGACAAAAAGCAGTAAAAGCATGAACCCAGAAAGCATTTTTTGTTTTTAAAAGATGTCTAATAGACGTCTAAACACAGTCGTCTTGGCTAAAACAAGGCTAAATTTGGGCTGTCAGTAAAAATCTAATAGACGTCTAAGTATAGACTAAAACTAGACTAGTCATCAAACAAACTGAAATGAATGACTAGACATATAAAGTCTGTCTAATCTGTCGATTTGATGACTAGTTGACTAGATGACTAATTTTGGGCTATTCTTAGATGTCTATTAGATATTCACTGACAGCCCAAGTTAAGCCTTGTTTTAGCCAAACTGTCTACGTTTAGATGTCTATTAGACGTCTATTAAACACAACATTGTTTGCTGGGAAGTGTGGACTTCCTAACCTTCTGTTACACCTAGCAAGCAAATGACCCGATTTAGCATAAGTGAATAGCTAATTCACTTTAAAATCCAAGTGTCCATCCGTCATACGTGCTCCACACTTGAGAGTCAATTTCAAAATTCAGAATTTTTCAACACCCTTACTAATTTTTCCATAATTTTAATATTTCCACGAACAGACTCTGTCTGATTCAGTAAGCAGATGTAGCAGTTCTGTTATACCATTGCTGGATTTGTACCGCTGATTATTCCTTTACATTCAGTTATGTACACAGTGTTTGTTTGAGAAGAAAGAATCAACATCAGTTTAAAGGATTGACTTCGATTCTGATTCTGTGTTCTGCCCTAGTGGACTATCTGCATTATATGTACAGTTAAAGTCAGAATTATTAAGCCCCCCCCCCCTAATTTCTGTTCAACACATTTCTAAACATAATAGTTTTAATAACTCATTTCTAATAACTGATTTATTTTATCTTTGCCATGATGACAGTACATAATATGTGACTAGATATTTTTCAAGACATTTCTATACAGCTTAAAGTGACATTTAAAGGTAAAACTAGGTTGACTAGGCAGGTTAGGGTAATTAGGCAAGTTATTGTATAATGATGGTTTATTCTGTAGACTATCGAAAAACAATACAGCTTAAAGTGGGCTAATAATTTTGCCCTTAAAATGGTTCATAAAAATGTCCAAACTGCTTTTAATATGATAAAATAAAATAAATTAGACTTTCTCCAGAAGAAAAAATATTATCAGGCAGACTGTGAAAATTTCCTTGCTCTGTTCAAAATTCAGAAGGGGGCTAATGATTCTGACTTCAACTGTCTATAGACTAAACTCAGTCCTTTTAAATGCTGAACTCTGCATTTCGGCTTCATAAAGTATCATGAAAAATTTGACTATTTATTCTGAGATCCTCTTAAGCTTACATTTAGCTGTGACTATCTGTAAGTGAACACGCAAGGATTCATTTTCTTGCTTTTCTGCAAAGGTGTGCAGGAGATTAGTGGCGCAGCCTTGAGAATCTGCTGATCTGCGGCGCAGGTGAATGGAGAGAGCGGCACTGCCGGCTCTGGCTTGTTGCCAGGGTAACTGAGGGCCGGTGCAACAGCCTGAGCTGAAATCCAGCCATTGGCGGGCAAGAATGAGGGTGGGCTGGGATAGGGTAGGACAGGATAGGGTGGACAGCTGGAGGACAGGGAGGAACCAGCGACAGGCTATCAACTAGAGAGAAAACCTTTGAGGAGGAGTGTCAGCAGAAGTGTCACATAGGGTTAACCGATAGGTTAAAAACAGGAGGAATAGAGACATTGAAACGCAGTGTGATTCTGTCTGACAGGCCGACACTGTGGACCCGAGCAGTGCTTGACAGGAAGCCAACAGTAAAGAACATGTCTAAACATGCCTCAGTTAGAGCTCTCTGACACGGGGAGGACACTTCCTTGTGCATTTAATACAGGCAGAAACACTGTACTTTCATGCACCTGTCAGTTTTGAGATTTTGGCTGTTTGCAAAGTAACAATACGTCAAGAAAACATCCAAAATCTACAGTTTTGTACTTGGTTTGTTGCATGTTATCAATTTGTCACTGTAAATTACACAGTACATAATGTCTCAATATATTTTTCCGGCACTAACTCATAAATCTTCACTTCCACTTGTCAGAAATTAATGCAAATTAGTGCATGTTTAATTAAATACTGCTAAAACTCCAGTTGTAAACAAAACATTTTTTTTAATTAGATTTTTTTAGGTAAATGCAGCTTTATTCGCCAGCAATGTTTTGCACTAACACTTGGAGTCAAAGCCAGGGATTCTGTCTTCTGAATCTCATTTAAATAAATGATGCTAATTATGCACAGCATGCACATATTAATTCAGTGTGTTCAGCATGTTACCTGAATTGTCCCTGAGTAGACTGTCCTGCTGCTGGACGCTGTCCAAGCTGAAGGCATCATGTGAGGGGATGTGGGGCAGTGGTGCAGAGAGAGTGCTGGTTTGAGTGGCAATGGTTCGGCGTCGATGGCAGGGCTGGATGATGCTGCCATTTGGCCAGGCGTCCTGACGCAGCACCTCCATCCTGCAGCTGTTCGGCGTGCCAGAGTTATGTTCGTCCACTCTGCTTTCCATCTCTGGTCGGGCCATTCCACATACAGTCTTGAAAGGAGAAAAACAAACAAAATGTTACACAAAATCATCAGACCTGTTTGCATGCCAACTGTTTCGTCTAAAACTGCAGTTGGACTCAAAAGACAACATATGCTGTTGCAAAGAAGAGACCTGTTAAAAAGTTATACTCGTTAAAAAATACATTTTTATTCAGATGTAAGTGAAAAGAAACTTAATAATAACATAATAAAAAGATAATCATTATAATAAGATAATGATAATACAATTTATGTAAATGAACATAATAAAAATTGCATTATAACTACAGTATTTATTTATCTTTGTAAATGTTACTTAAAGAAAATAAGGTTGTTAGTTCTTGTTAACTCACAGTGCTTTAACTAATGCTCTCAAGTACTTTGGATTTTAATAATGCATTAGTAAATGTTGAACTGTGAATATTACATTCTAATCATTCTTTGTTCATGTTAGTAAACACATTAACCAGCATTAACGAAGGCGACCTTTTTGTAAAGAGTGACCAACAGTAATAACTAAAAAACTGTAATTAATTTAAGAAAATAAAACCACACAAATTTAATTATTTTTATTTTGTGAATGTGCATTCTTTTAGACTTATAAAAATAATTAATCATGAAATCATATTACTAATAATAAATAACAAAATACAATCTAAGAATATTCTCAAAACAAAACAAAATGCAAATAAATGTCCAATAATTTAGACTTAATAGAACAACAACAATAATGATATAATAACAATAACAATAATATTAATAATAATAATAGTTTTCCCAGTGATAGTTTGCGGCTGGAAGGGCATCCGCTGCATAATACATATGCTGGATATGTTGGCGGTTCATTCCGCTGTGGTGACCCCAGAATAATAAAGGGACAAAGCTGAATTTTTTTTTATAAATAATAATAATAAAAATATTAATAATAATTATTATTATAAATCAAAGCCTTCAGGATAATTAAATTTGAGTGATTTAATGATAAACATCGATAAATAAATAAATAACTAAATACTAATAATAAGTAGACTGAAGAAAAAAAAACAATATAAAACTTATTCAAAATAATTTTACAATTTAACAGATTTAATAGTACGCTAACTATAATAATAAGTAAATAAGTAATAAGTAAAATAAGAATAATAATGTAATACCACTAATAAAACATACATTAAAATTTTTATTTTAACTTATTTAAAGTTCTAAGACAGCAGGAAATAGAAATTAATTTAGACTTATTATAATAAACTATAACAGGAACAATAAACTCTACCTCTTCTTCCATTTAAGAAAAGCTAAATAAATCAAAACAATCCAGCAATGCAAGTATCCCTATCTGACCCATAGACTGTAAAAAAAAGGCCAGCAACCTATATTTTACACGTCCACAAGATGGCAGAAACTTCAGCCTCGTGCTCACGGGTGTGTTTGTAAACAAATCCGTGCACGCGATGTCACACACACACACACCGCTTCTCGCGCGCTTTAACACAACCTCACGTGCCATCGTGACTCTCTCTAACAAACATTACATTACAAAAGCTCCATTCCACTGGAATACATATCACACTTTCCTAATTACGACACCCACTGCGATTATATCGATTTTTCTCAATAGGCGACGGGGGCTGATGTTGTGAACGCGGAAAATTCTGAAGCGTCGGAGGAAAAGCGCGCAGCCGGTGACTGGAGTGATGCAAGATTGAAGATTTGACGATTTTGGAAACTGACAATCTTATCTTTTACATAATAGTTTGAACATTTGTTATATTATCTACAAATAGCCAATAGACATGTGCTAAGTGCTAAACAATAAAATCAAGCGGTTTTGTTGTAGCTGGTGAAAGAAGGTCCGAGCTGTTTACATCTTGGGTTGACCAGTTAACCAGCCCTCAAAATCAGCTTGACTGACCAGCTGGTGTCTGTTTTAGCAGCTTGAACCTGTGCAAACTAGTCCAGACCTGCTAAAATCAGCATTATATAAACAAAATAAAACATCAAATATATTTTCTACAGCATGCTGATGATTTCAACCGCTTAAATGGCGTTTAATCATGCAGCTTAATGCACTTATATAGTGTAAATCATATTTTTGATAACGAACGAGCCACTGTAGCCTACTCCCTCCCAAATAAGTAATCTTTCGCAGATGTCTGCTATGAACAAAGCGATGCATGTGCAACAAACACTAAAAACATATTTGCGTACCTTCAAAAGGTGATGTTAGTAAGTTGATGTTATCCCAGAATCGTGATGTCCTGACACCAGATGTGTGTCGTACTTCAGAAACACTTGAAATGTCCGTTCATGTTATTCCTTAAGCTGGAGGGGATATAAAGCGGTGTTAATTCATTAGATGAGTACTCAGTTAGCCTGCCGTGTGCATGTGAAGATGTGTTGATATGATGACAGCAAAGTCCTTTCACTGTTGCGCTCAAGTCCCTCGCTTTAAGCCACGCCCTCCCGCCAGTCTCATAACAAGCCCTGACATGCTCATCATCATCATGGCGAGGTGCCAGCGAGTGGACACACACACGCACGCAAGGCGGTTTATGTGATTTATGGGGACATCTCATAGGTTTCCTTGTTTGTTTATACTTTAAAAACTATATATTCTATGGTTTTACATCAAACTCTGCAGTTATACTTTCTGAAAAAAACAACAACTTCTGTATGATTTATAAGCCTTTTTGTAAAATGAGTATATCAGGACTATACTCATAATATACGTTTTTCTTTTAATACGTTGTCATACGCATGTTATTATGCACATTTGTGTCTTGATATGTCAGCGCGCGCGCGCACACGTTCACGCACAGCGAAGACAGCGCAGCCCTCACACACGCCCACTGTTGTTTGTTTATTCGCACTAGTCTTCATAGTAGTGTGTGTACTGAGTGTGCTCTACTACTCAGATCTTGTCGATGATTGTCAGTCTCTCTGGCTGAGTGCTGCTGTATCAGGTCTCATATTTGTTTTGCAGACAGCAGGCTATTGCTTACGGCATCGATACAAGACGGTGACATAACATCGTAAATATGAACAATAAATAATTCGTGTGACTTGGCGTTAATTATTGATTAAAAACAACACAGGATGTACTACACTCTCGGAAAAAGCAACAAGTTAGAGTTACTATTGCAGCTCACACCTAATACATAAAAAATGTATCATGCTGTCAATTTTCATATGCACTTTTAGCCCTCTGATGCTTGATGTCCAGTTAAAAATATCGTTTACTCACCCATCTCATTGGGAAATAGTCAAAATATAAAATAGGCTAAGATAATATAATATAATTAATATAATATAATATAATATAATATAATATAATATAATATAATTAAAAATAATATAATATAATATGATTTAATATAATATGATTTATTATACGACTTAATATAATATAATATGGTTTAATGTAAGTTGATTTAATATAATATGATATAATATAATATGATTTAATATAATATTATATAAATCAATAAAATATATTATATTATTACAATTAGCAAATTTTCCACTAATAACAAAATGAAATTTACCCTTAAAAAATCACTTATTAAAAAATTACAAATAAATTAAATAAAAAAATCACATTATATGCACCAATTTTTATTTATTATTTAATAAAAGCTTCAAAGAAAATAAACAATTATAGAAGAACACAAAAACACAAAATTCACTAATTGTTGTTTATAATTATTTCTCCACAATAGTCCTAAAAAAACATGAAAATTATTATTTTTTGTTCTAAGATACAGAATTAATGCAATGGAATTTTTAAAGTGCTTTCCGAGGTGTTAAAGTTGCAATTACAACCGGATCCAATGCTTTTAATTCTGGGATTCTCTGAACAAATGCTTATGTTGTTGTCAAATACACAACATAAATTGTTCTCATATACTGTTTAACTACTGCCAAGAAGCTGCTGTTTTAGGAAAAAAGGAATCATCTATATGTAAACTGTGGCTTGCAGAAATTACCTACATTTGGAGCAAATTGGATACTATTTGAAAAGTAAACTCAAACAATTTGACAAAATTTGTTACCTTAAAAAAACCTTGTGCAATTAATAATTTATAATTTCTGTAATGTTTAATATGCTTTGTCATCATACTCTGTTGTTTAAACAGGTCTTTGTAACAAGCTGGCTTTTATGTGTTTTTTTTTTAATTATTATGATTTTAATATTGTTTTTTTCTTTTTATTTGCTTTGCCTATGTTATATGTGGACAAAATATGAAAAAACATAGAATCCTTTTCTTTCTGAATATGTCTTTATTAAAACAAACAAAAAACAAAACAAAAAAACATGAAAATGATATATTATACACTACATGAACACTGAGTATTACATGCACACATGCACACACCCTCACCGTCATTGGATTTTGTTTTAAAAGTTTTCTCTAAAGCAGAGATGTCCAAACTAGGGCCCGCAGGCCAAAGTTGGTCCTAAAACCTTTGATTTGGCCCACCATCCCACATGAGAAGAGTGTAAAAATGATGGAGAGGGTTGGAAAGAATGCCTTTAACAGAGATGGTAATTTCTAGTTTAATGTAATTTTGTGGCTTTGTTTGTTTGGTTGCTACAAAAAAGCCAAACAAACGTTTCAATCAAATGTTGTAAATGAATCTGATTTTAAAAAATATAAAATATGCTCTGATCGATCGGACAGAGATTGGTATCGGCCGATAATCACATTTAATTACTCAATCAGTATTTGCTAAACTAGCGGTTCTCATGAACCAACAGCCTGATCTCACAAGGAGACTTAAGAATTATACATTTTTCCAGTTTAGTGGCTAATTCATATGAATTTGAACGAGTTCAATCGTATGATTTAAAAAGGAGGCGTGGCACCTAACCACACCCCTAACCCCAACCGTCATTGGGTGATGATCAAATCATATTAAATTGTACAAATTAGATTCAAATGAATTTGCCACTAAATCAAAAAGTTATTGCCGTGAGATTGAACACAAATTTATGTTGTGTAAAACATTTTTAACATGAATATTTCTTAATATAACCTCTTGCAATATACTTAATGCAATAAACAGTAGTTAGACCTATTTTAAGTTAAAAAGTAATGGATGTGTGCATTTTAACTTATTATGCATCAAAAACGCACACCAGACTTGTTCTTGATAAAGACCTGTTGAATTCTTTTTCCATCATTTGCAATGATTTCAAATTGCATTGTTTGTCATTTTTTATCTATTATTTTCTGTAAATCTGCCTCTGACCATGACATGTTCACATCTAACTATAAGAGACATGTTGTTTTTTTTTGTTGATTTTTGAAGCCGATATGTATCGGCTTCAAAAATCTGAGCATCCCTAATATAAATACTCAACAGATAGAGGAAAATGCAGAAGACAATCAAGGCAAAAAAACAGATGCAGCTTGACTTGTGCATCTCCATTCTGTTATAAATGGAACTGTGTTAATACTGTAATAAGTTCATTATAAAGTTTTAAAACATAGACTGCATTAGTTAATATAAAGCAATGTTTTCTAGTTATTTTTTAAATATAAGGTATATTAGGAAATCACCAATGGCAACTTTAATGTAATAGAAATTGGTATATTTACCTTCGGCCCATCCGCAATCAAGATTGATTTTGGCCCTTCATAAGATTTGGGCACCCCAAATCTAAATATATATATATATATATATATATATATATATATAAACGAAAATTTAAATAAACGAAAAATTACAGAACATGCATTTTGCTCTAATACGATTTTATTTACAAAATAAACACAATTTTCCAAATGTTTTATTCATTGTGTTTCCACAAGTCGTGCAGGATTGAGCTAATATGCACATTTAATCGCTCGACTTTAAACTGTACCTTAAAAATACAACCGGAAATTGAATGTTTTCTTACTCTTTAACATCAAAGAGTCGCTAAACATCACCACACAGACAAACTTGAGCTAATGAACCTGCGCTATTTAATTATGCTAATTGATGGGGAATTCCCCCATTGAGCCGCTTTGACCTTTGTCCAGCAGCTTCCAAGCGCGTCTATTGTGCAAATGCAGATCATGCAGATGGTGAAGCTCGTGGAGAGCTTCATGTGTGATTGTGGAGCCCCCGGGCCGGCAGATGAAGAGGGGCTCCGGCTGTGTGCATGCACGGGAATCCCCGAGCAGGTACATGTCTGGGCAAACAGCCGCACACACATTCACAGTGGCGGGGCAGAGGATGGCATGTGTGTGTCGTCTCTGTGTTAAAAGCGGATCAGGGGTGTGGCCGTCATTTCAGATTATATTGCAAAAAAAAAAAAAAGTAATGCAAAAATGAATAGTTGCCTATTGCCACTTATATGTAATAATTATAAAACTAAATAATACAAAATAATTCGAGAAATAAATTTTACAAAATATTTTTAATAAAATAATAATAAATAATTATATAAACTAATTTAACTTTCTTATTTAATACTAAGCATTCATTATCGATAGGATATTAACCAGCTGCTGTCATTCATTTTCCTTCAGATTAGTCCCTTTTTCATTAGGGGTTGCCACAGCAGAATGAACCGCCAATTTATCCAGCTATGTATATATGCGTTTAATGCAGAGGATGCCCTTTCAGCTGCAACCCAGCACTGGGAAACACCCATACACTCTAACATTCACTACGGCCAATTTCATTCATTCATTTTCTTTTTGGTTTAGTCCCTTTATTAATCTGGGGTCGCCACAGCGGAATGAACCGCCAACTTATCCAGCATTAGTTTTAGTTTATTTTACCCAATTCACCTGTACCGCATGTCTTTGGACTGTGGGGGAAACCGGAGCAACCGGAGGAAACCCACGCAAACGCAGGGAGAACATGCAAACTCCACACAGAAACGGCAACTGCAGCCGAGGCGCGAACCAGTGACCTTTTTGCTGTGAGGCGACAGCACTACCTACTGTCCCACCACATGGCCTACGGCCAATTTAGTTTATTCAATTCCCCTATAGCGCATGTCTTTGGACTTGTGGGGGAAACCGGAGCATCCAGAGAAAACCCACGCGAACATGGGGAGAACATGCAAACTGAGTACACAGATATGGCAACCAGCCGGGACTTAAACTAGCAACCTTCTTGCTGTGAGGTGAAAGTGCTAACCACTGAGCCACTATGTCGCCCTGCTGTCATTATATTAATAATTATTCATAACATCTAGTGATATTTTATCGGTAGTAAATCATTATTGTAATTCAAAAGTGTGTATATGAAATTTTATGTAATAACTACGATAAAAATGCGTTCAGTAGGCACATTCAATAAAATTATGGTTGGCAAAAAGACAACTATTGGATTTTGCTATTTAATATTTAGATTTGTCAAATAACGAATTACTTTAAATAGTCAAATTATTAATATTATAATGCTTACTTTTATATATTTCATTTAATTATTAGAGCAAGTTAATATACACTACCTGACAAAAGTCTTTTCGTTGATTCCAGTTGTAAGAGCAACACATAATAACTTGATAATAATTTGAC